AATGATGGTTGAGTTCAAAACTATCAAGTCTGATGTGTATGCATTCATGCACAGAAACTCCGGAACAGTTACTGGCCAGGCAGTAAGTATTCATAATATCTATACATTTCATATGAGTATCCCATGAGATTGGGATGGCTAATATGGGAATTTACCATGATATGCGCATAAATGACAGGGCACATCTCGTATTGATTCAGTATCTGAGCTTCCCAGGCCTGTGTCCGAGCCAGGTCTGACGGTATGATTCCGTCAAACCTTGAAGTTTCTTAGTAATCAGTGCAATGCCTATTTTAGGCTACTCTTGATAGTCTACTACGTTTCCAACTCATCTGTAATATTTTGTTGTAGGTCGGTACGCGTGTGCTTCTATTATCCCGCACCGGTGAGAAAAAAGTTGTTGCGGAGGGACTTCTGCTCTGCCCCCCTGCGCCAGGTTTGTGCCATTGTCTTTAAGGTTTTTTTGGGAACTTTTATTATGCCTCGGCTATGGGATCGTAGGTTTTGTGACCGTTCGGGCCTCATATTGCTAATGATCATGGTTTTCTTGAGCCTAGACATATACAATGTTACGATATGTGGATTTGCTTGTGTTATGTACACTGTTTTTATAGGGGCAGTAAACTCAGTGGTATTAAGCCGACTCCTGTGTTGGTCTGGTCTTTTTTATCTTTTACATCACATTGTTTATGGCTACGATGATATTACACCATTTGGGTACACTATGACTTTCCCCAAAGATGTTGGAAGTTGACTTTATTATTGAAATCCTATGTAGTCCCTTGCTGCCAAGGTGTACCTCGTGTTAGTCATGAGTTTGGTACATAAAACATGATATATCAGTGGTCGGTACTCTAAACTTGGAACTGCATCTGCGGATGTCTACTCGTATGTAGTGTATAAATGGTAGTTATTCTCATTGAGGCATAGTACTACGAAACATACATGGAGCCATCCCATTTGGGGGTTGCCATATGGATATAGAAATTCGAAATACTAATTTTTATTTGGATATTGTACATGATATTGTTGGTTTACATTTGTTTATTGGAGGATGATTGGTTTATAGATCGAGCTGCAATCACATAGGAAATTAGGATATAATGTACTTTGGTACCTAATTCGTGGATATAATACCGTGTATTGTACGACATGTCTGGATATACATACTCGTATTGTTCTAGTTGCAAAGCTTTACACTTCTAATGTCTGTGTTGTGGCATGTTATACATTCAGTTTGAACGTCTGTTGATATATATTGCTCAATATACTCAAAAATTGCACTTGTGCATGCTGTAGGTGACACACTTTCCCTGGTCAAGGTCTTCGTGACATCCGCCTCAGTCCCGGACACATCCCTTATTTTGCCGACCATTGCTGGGGTGACTACCCTTCGCAATGTCGTTGGTGAAGATCCTATTGAGTGGAACTACAAGGACGTACGGATCTACTTTCATACCTTTCTTGTATTGCCTTCCGAATTTTATAAGAGATACGACTTAAACTAATCGTTGTGTTGGCTATTGCAGCTCATGCGCCGCCCCTGAAGCGTATCTACCGATTCACCCGTGTTAGTTGCCCCGTTTGTCTTATGGAATGTATGTCGTACCTGTTTTTCGTTGGATTGTGTTGAGGCTGTGTGAACAATATATGGAATGCATGCATAGACCATTGGAGTTTTAATTCGTGTGGTGAACGATGTGGTTATCGATTGATGGATATCCGTACTTGCTTATTGTTAGGTTTGGTGTTTGAACTGTTAAGCTGATTTTCCGGAACAGGTTGTTGTTGTGTTGTGATTGCTAGGCATGTTTTATGGGTTGCTTTACTTCGTTGCTAGGTATGGAGATTGTCGAGTAAAAATTGTGGTGTCCATGTCCCTTAATGTCGGGATTCTTATGCATACTATGAATTAATGTTTGCAAGTATTGCCAATGATGATGTTTATAGCATTATGTGTAAACGGAATTTCTTTCGGTATTGGGGAGGTCACAGCAGGTCTTTTTGTTACGCACAATTTCAATTGCCGTGTATCACCTATTTTTCGTACCATGATATTTTTGCGTAACAAAAGGATGAAATACCGTGACAAAAGTGGTCATTGGATGTTTGTTGTTCCGTGGCTAATGATAAGTATATTTTTAATTACGGGTTCAATGTCGTTACAAATATTCGTAACAAAAACGAAATCTGACAAGCGATTACTGGAACGTTTTTGTAACGCGCCGACCTTTCGTAAAAAATATCGTAACAAAAAGCTCTGACACACGCGTGGAAGGATCGACCTTTGGTTACGAGAGGAAATTCGTACCAAATATTGTAACAAAAACCCTGCATTAGGGAGCGTTGACCGACAGTAATAGTTACGAAAAACTGCGTGGCAAAAAACATTCGTTACGCGAGTACACATTACGGAAAAAAGTCGTAACAAAGGCGTAGCAAATACGCAAATTGCACGAAAAATGGCTTGTTGTTACGATTTTCCGGCCGTAGTAGAAAAAAAAAATTTTAGTAGTGGCGGCTAAGCATGCGTCTCCTGTCACAAGTGGTGCTAGCCGCCGTTAGGAATCGACTTGGAGCTCTTGCACCTTGAGCTCCTCGCATTTAGAGTTGTGAGAAGTGAGACTTGAATGATACTCCTTGTACAAATGACTAACATCGCCCTCTATTTATAGGCGCTAACAAAGCTTCTAGACGGCTGACAGTTTTTTACAACAAACATCCAGTTGGAACTTTGATTCTCACCGTCCAATCTAGCAGATATAAAATGGAGGGTTGATCTTCCTTCTTGGAGGGAAAGCAAAGCCGGAGTTAAAGTGTTTATCAAGAAATATATTTGCGACCAGGCATCGCATCTCGTAGGTAGGAACTGCTTGATTTTTCTAAATGCGATCATCTTTCCAAAATCAATGTGTCTCACTACTTAAAATACTCAAAAACACTAAGACATATCATATCATATAAAAATGGGATTAAAACATATTATTTCTAGGCATTTTCATACAATTAGGCACATAGTTGAAATTGCCACATATGCTTATAAAAATAATTAGAAAAACATATTCAAAATCAGTTTTATGAAAACTTCTCATACTAGCCTTTGTTCATCCTTGAAAAAATTTTAAAATTAATATAATAAAAAAATAATGATGCCAGTAAATAATCTCCTAGGAACGTGTCGCAATGGTGCTCAGAAAGACTCTCAAATAAATTAAACACAATCTTTAAATTAGCCTTTTACCTTTGGTTCTAGCCCTTAGCGTAGCTTAGCTTTCCGTCTACTTTAGATGATCGTAGCTTTAGTTGTTAGATAGTTAGTTCAGCATACGTGTAGTTAAATTTCTTAGTCAGATGATCGTGTCGGGTATTGCTGGTTATCTGCCCGCAATTACTGCTACGTACTCTAGCTGTGTAGATGTGTCTTTTGTTAAATGAAAGTCATCTTTAAAATTCATCCATGTCAATTGTTGGTGGTGTCATTTCGCTTTAGTCTAGCTTCGATTTTGTTGTTGTATTTGTTCGAATCCGTTAGCTTACTAAGCTATTGTAGCTTAATTTTATTAGTTCTATTGTTTTGTTGATTGATTGTTGTTGGAGTAATTGTGTATAAGATGAATGACTACTATCTTAGGTGCTAGATGGGTTTTGTTATTGTTTAACTTTAGTAGACAGTTATTTAGTCATATCTACTATTAGGTATTGTTCCGGCTATTCTTTTGGCCTCATTCTATCCTTCGGTTTGTTACTTTAATTAGCATTTTGTTTCGCCTTTCTTCGAATGTATTTGGTTGCTAATTGTTGTTTCTAGTGAATTGATGTATAATCTTAGTCTTTAATGCGGAGTTTGTTGTTTATTAGTTAGATTAGTTCATAGCGTTGTTTCGTAGCTTCGCTAGTAATTTGCTTTTTCGATCCCCTAGTTGTTGAGAGATAGTTTAGGCTTATACCTCTGGTTGTGTTTCTTCTTTAATTATTTCGTCACCTTCTGGGTCTTTCGAGTAAATAGTTTGGCTCCATCTATTCTTTATCTATTTATTTGTTTTCTTATTTTTATAGTTTATTATTCTTTCTTTCTTTTTCTCTCATTTCTTACCTTTCGATTTGTTCCATTTATTTATCTATTTATTCATTTACTTATCTTATTTTCTCTTTTCTTCTTCTTCATTTATTTTTCTTCTTTTGTCTTTTATCTATTGATAGTTTATATCTTTATTTAGCTATATTTAAATAAATATTATTGTATTTTCTTGTTAATCGATTTTTTCTATACTTAATTTAGTTTGAAATTGAATATATTTAATAATTAAAATTCTTTTGAATATAAGTATAAGTAAGAATTTGGTAAAGTTAGTAAATATTCCATTTCGTTTCAATTTGTTTCATATATACTTAGTCCGATTTAAAATTTTTGTTTGTTGTGTTGCACTTGTTAGCGGAGATAATGAATTATGTTATTCTTAAAAATGACATTGACAAATAAATAGTGTAGGAAGAATCCCGAATATCTTTCACGTGGCTTGACTTGGCAAGCAAGTCGCAAAAATTGCATATCATATATCATAGCTAATTTATCGTGTGCAAATTTATCCGTAGCAAGTGTACCAGAATTGCCCATTGTACCATAGTAATTGATTGTATTGCATAATTTATTGTGGCAATATAAATTAAGCCTTGAGTTTTCACATATTGCTTAGAAGCTCCTGTAAATGCTAGAAGTTTGAATATATTTCGGGAGATTTATTTTAGAATTTATGTAGACTAACAACAATGCATTAATGGTTTAAAAATTTCTGAAACAACTAAAATTCACTTATAATAGTAGATGCTGACAATACTATTTTCTTGTTTAGAAAATACTTGAGTTTATTTTGCTAATTGAACTTGTTTGAGGATGAGCGAATATTAAGTGTGACGAAATTTGATGACGCTATTTTGTAACATATATTTTGTATATATTTATGTAAGTATACGTTAGTTTTTTTTAGTATTTAATAAGCTATTTAAGTTAAATTTAGTGTTGTTTTAGCTTTCTTTGTAAGCCTCCAAACTTCCCTTAGGTCAGCCAAGACCACTTTCTCCGCTGAGTCTGGTAATCCGCTGTTACTCTGGAATGCCGTTTCACACGGTTTCCACCAGGTCCGGAGAAGATGGTAGGGCCATATATAAGAATCTATATGAAATAAAAGAACTTTCAATTTAATGAAGTTTGCATCACCTGAACCTCCATCCATGCACCCTGTCTCTTCGTCTCCGGTATCTCAGCGAACGTGGGGTAATGTAGAGGAAGTCGAGCTCCGTTGCGTGCAATGACCCCAATGGCTGTCTTGTACTCGTTTACGTCGGGTCCGACGAGGCTTTTACCATCCGGCGATGTGAATACAAGCATCCTGTGATCTTTTCCCCATCCACGCGGCATTCGTGCCGCCCCTCTCCCCTGCTTTTTCTTTGACGAACCAGCTGACACAAACAGGAGATTACATGTTCTAATAAGGATATTACATGCAAAATATGAAGTCACTAAATGTAATCGGTAATCTTTGAAGGCTAATTTCCAAACCGTCGTGCGATGTCATCTCGTCCAATGGTGCCATATTGCCCGCCTCTGTTCCTGTCATCAGAGTGGGGTCGGAGCCTGGCCCTTCATCCAAGAGTGGCATATCACTCTCTGCAGTCTCCATGTCCTGCGTCGGCGGAAGTGTCTCGTCATCTGCTTGTGTGGGGGGGATTGTATCATCGTCATCCTGTGTCAGTGCCGTCGGATCAAAAAGTGATGGAACATCCCTATCATCATGTTCCTGTTGGGGTTAACAGTGTCAGCCTATTGTAGTGTTATACTGAGAGTTCAAATAAGGACATGCTTTCGGCAAAGGAACCACATTACCTCCAAAGGGCCCTCTGAATCCTGAAGCACTGCCCTTCGAGTGGAAGATGTTGGCTTCATGCTTTGACCACGAGCATCGCGCTCTTTCTCCCACTCTGATGTGATGGACCGGAGTCGTTGGAGCAGTGGCGAGACCCGAGATCCCTTCCGTTTTGTCACTTTCTTTGTGGGATTGCGGATGGGCGATGGATTCCTGCTTGCGGGATGAGTTGCCTCTAGGGGGCTGTTACGTGCGGATGCCCGGGTAAAACGTCTTGCGGGAGAGACTGCCGGATCCTGTGACCCTCCAACGGCAGCACGTTGAGATTTGCCCATAACCTGCAAGACACCAGTGTTAGAACCTTTTAAAATCACAACATTAAGGCCCATGGTTTAAAATCAGCCATTATCTCCACTTTAGAACCTTTTATGGATGCCATTTAATGAGAATTAAATGATGTCTACGCTCCGCCAAAAATTCTGAGCGTCATCTCTAGATACTAGAGCAGCAAGAATTATCCATACCCTACTTGGGTCAAGAAAAATTTCCTACTATTCTAAATTTTTCCTTGCCCTTTTGTACGAATATGAAAAAAATGCTCAAATCTGATGTCTAAAGAGTAAAGCAGGTTTGTGGGAATGCACATAACACTTAACTACACCACCACTCGAGAAAACATAGAACACTTAGAAGTTTTGCACTGTGGAAATGCATTAAAAAGAAATCCGACCTTCCGTTAAACTCAATGTTGCTTATCCTGAATTCACACTGCACACTTTTGTCTCCACAATTTAGTATCCTGTAAAAAAACACAAGTTAAATATGCACTCATTTTCAGTTAAAATAGCCCAAATGGTGTTGCTTCCGACAAATCGACGCATACAACCAAGTTACAAAAAAAATGGTATTGGTTCCGACAAAGGAAATTCATTAAGCATGCACTTTGAGTTAATTGTCAATGCACAAATGTGTTTTGAAATAATGAAATTGAATATGTTATTCAGTTGGTGCAGATCGATGAAGAGAGTTTCCCGTGCTGTAGGATAGAATTCATAGTGATGATGTTTTTCAATCATGCCGACAAGGAACCTGGGTCCTCTATATGTTGATTACACCTCTAGTAGAAACCCTTTAAAACAAATATGAAATAATTCTGAAATCTGATGGGAAAAAAATATTTTAGATTCGTAGGAATGCACTTCACACTTCATTGCACCACCCACCCAATAAACATACATCACAGAAAAGTTGCTACACAGTGGCATAGCATAAAAAATAAAGCAGACCTTTTGTTAAACTCAAAGCTAGGTATCCTGAATGAGCACAGCACGCCTGCGTTGACATACGTTCACTTCCTATAAAAAAACATAAGTTAAACATGCACTAATTTTCAATGAAAAATGCGCAAAGTACTACATTAATTAAACATGCACTAATTCACAATATGCATTCCCTCTTTTAGGATTGAATTAGAACCATATATACCACTTTTAGTATTATGTGATGATGGAGGGGCTGAAACTGTATAACACCCTAAGGAAAACCTACAGCAGATCAGACCCCCTCCCCTGCTTTCTTCTTTATTTTCAAAATGGGCTTTCAATTCTCTACTCAATTATACAACCTAAAAGAGTGAGTTAATCAATCAATCAATCAATCGTTGCAACCAAGCAAGCACAGGTGGAGATTATATGCCGCCGAGGAGTGTGCAAAGCATCTATCTTTTCATCTTTAGTCCTAATCGAACAAATCTATTTAAGGAGAGCAGAGCAGAGCACGCAACAAACATGGAATCTAGCACAAGTGCATACAGATGCAGAAAACCAATGAAGCAGTGCCGTGCAGAGACCTCCACAGAAAATCGAAATCAGTGAGGTTTAGAAGAAAATGAAGAAGGCAAGAAGCAATCTATTAAGATCCATATCATATGCAGCACGACTGTACAGTTCAATGCATCTCTTTTCTATGAACCAAAAAAAGAAAAACAAGCACAGACAGATAAGGTAAGGATAGAGTGTCACAACCTCAGTAGAGGAAAGACAAGCAAATCCCGAGTTGAAGCAGAGGGCGTGGCCTTGCGTACATAGCAGCGCTAGTTAAGTCCATGCACAGTAAACACATAATCCAAAGGAACTTTTGTATAGATTTGAAAATACTAATAAATTCTCAAAGTTGAGCTTCTGCTCTGGCTCATGGTTCTGCGCCTTTCCCTAATGTCATCGCTGCATAGTAGAAACAAATGCAAAAATAAGTGGAATGCTAGTAACATAATCATGGATGCATCAAACATGATGGCAGTTTAGCAATCGATCATTGGGTACATAGAAGATTTCATGGAACCAGTAACTAGCAGTAATGTAAGATATGACAATTTAACATATCAAATCGGTGCTATCGAAATTTCTTATAAGTCAATCGTTCACATAGTAAGCAAAGATAGCAAATAGCACCTACTTATGACTATTCTACAGGTTTCGACACAACCCTACTGTTGTTTATGCAACTCCAGATTGAAGTCCATTACACCACCACCCGAGAAAACATAGAAAAATTAGAAGCTTTGCACAGTGGAAATGCATTAAAAAGAAATCAGACCTTTCATTAAACTCAAGTATGCTTATCCTGAATTCACACTGCACGCCTTTGTCTCCACAATTTAGTATCCTGTAAAAAAAAAAATACAAGTTAAATATGCACTCATTTTCAGTAAAAATAGCACAAACTACTACAAAAGTTAAACATGCACTACGTTACAATATCCATTACTTATTGTAGGATTGAATTGGTACATATATATATCACTTTTAGTATTATATGATGGCAGGATTAACATTTGAAGTACATAAAACTAAAAGAAAGGATTACAAGTGTGAAATGCTATTATTCTGATGGGAATGAAGCTGACGAATTGACGACTAACCAAGCAAGGAGCAACATAATTAAACTAGCCTAAGTATAATGACAACAGTAGATTATATTAACTATCTAATGTACCACAGACATAGTAAGAAATTAAATTTAACCTAAACAATCTGAACTGCCTGAGCCTATTACAATTACAACGAGATTGATTAACAGGATAGGCTAGAACTACTTAAATTTGCAGCAACAACTAAGATATACACATTACAAACACTGTTGGCTCACTAAATTAATCTAGCACACATCAAACTAAATTAGTTTACAGCAGTTAAGCAAATTATCCAATGAACAGCTCGCCTAATTTAACTTAAGCCCACAACATCAGCAATATCTGGAAGCAACTTAATATTAATGAATGCAGCAACAATAAATACAAAGCTTTTTCAAAGACGGACAAACAAACAATGAGAAGAAGATGATAATGCATGTCATGTGCATGTGTATGCATATATTCATGGAATGAATTAGATAGAGCTAGTTACAAAACCCATTTGTTTGTTTTCCTTCTCCATTCCACACATACATCATCTTTATCATACTATTCAGCAACTGATTCACTGCTTCAAAAATGATTTTGTTTCCAAAACACTTATTGAATGGTAGAATTTTACTAAAGAAACTTGGGTAGTATGAATAGCACCATTTACAGTTTCACCCTTTTCGAATATGATGCTTAATCAATTCAACAATTTCTGGTCTTCGCACTATTAATCCTTAATTCACAAGCCGGTGGCTTTTCAAGTTCATTTTGTGCAGTTGTCAATATTTTATTTTTTTGATTTCATACATATACATTTATTTATTTATTTTATTTCAAAATCATATTTGAAAATGTGGTGATAAAAGATATTAAATTATCTTCGTTATGAGGCTGAGTTATTAATGAAGACACACATTAAGAATCACTTTGATAACAGTCTTATCTTAAATCTAGAATAAAAAAAAGTAAATTGCACAAGGGGCAGGGCAGCCCGGCACTGCAAGCTCAAATATGAAAAATAAAACAAAATATAGTTGAAAATCCACCCCCACACCTTTGTGAAATGTGAGAGTTAGCGCAAGATATCATGAAAGAACAATATATACCCAGAAAGAAAAATCAAAATTGGGCTCAATACCTATGTTCACACACAAATTGTAACGATGAGGAAGAAATCTTTCGGTACCTAAAGATACTCCCTAAAGCAGAGCTCCGTATCAACCTGAGGAGGAAGCTGAATATTAATACTCCCTAATTCGATTTTTCCTTATAGGAAGAGATGAAGAACTGCGAATCGACAACAAATAATACTGGAGAAAACTTTAAAACATTACTTGGACGCTAGCGCCGGACTACCTATTCAATTCCACAACTATGCGCGTCGCGTCGGCGAAAGAAAGAAGGGAGTCGTCGATCGTTGGAGGGGACGAAATACTATGCCCTCAATTTGTCTGATTTTTCTAAGTATGGGAAAGTGAAATCTTTTTGCCCTAGATCTCTACAAGCGTGTTTATTTTGTCTGTTGAGTGAAAGCGCAAATGCGTTTTTACCTTTTTCTTCTTTTTTTTTTAATTTATTTATTGCAAAAAAATTTTTAATTAATATTATTTAACCAGTTGTTACGAAAAACTATCATAACAAATCTTATTTTGACCAAAGTCTACAATCTCCGTATTTGTTACATTTTTTTTGCGTAACTAATAAACTTGAAACGTTGACCAAGAGGAAATTTTTTTGTCACGGATACTCACGTAACTAAAACCACTATTTGTTACGATGTTATTGTTACGAACTCTCGGGCCGTGGTGAAAGGCCGTTTTTTTGGTAGTGTTTTTTGTGTACAATCTTAATTTATATGAATTTTGTTTTATTTATGGCTATTCTGTATTTAATTTAATTGTAATTGGATTTATTTTTCAAAGCTATAATTTTCTTAGATTAAATTTAGGTTCATTATTTAGCTATATTAATAATTAAAATTGACTTTTGTTAATTTATTTGGTTAGAATATGTTTAGCTTCCATAGTTTTCTTACTATTTTGGATTAGCTTTTGTGTAGTTATCTTTCTATTTATAGTATATTTGTATTTTTGGCTTTTTAAGTTAGCCTTTTGTTAGTTTTTTATGTTAGTTATTTGAGTTAGCTTTCTCAGTTAGCTTTTTAAGTTAGTATTTTTATTGGTTTTCTATGTTAGCTTTTTAAGTTAGATTCTTTGTTAGCTTTTTAAGTTAGTTTTGTATGTTAGCTATTTTTATGTGATTTTTTATTTGATTTTGAATTCTTAGCAAAACTTCGTTTCAAAAGAGCTAGCTAATCATACATTCTAATCAAATGCTAATTTCTTTTTTTGTAGGTTTGACTTTAAAAAAAAAAACAATTTATAACAAAACACCATGCAAATCACGAAGAATATGCCTGAATTGCAAGGTCATAGTCAACTCATAAAGTCAACTATCAACTACAAAGTCCACTATCAGTTTGCAAAC